AATTCGACCGTCTAATACCACAATTTCATGTCTATTTTAACCCTGTGAAAGGATTTTCAATTCCGTTCAGCCAATTCGGAGAAATCTACTAAACTGTAATCGTCGGTATTTTCTACCTTCCAGCATCGCCTTAATGGAGTATATCGTAAATTAATTAATAGAGAAGTAATAAATGAACACGATATAACGTTGCAGTTGAATACCGATGGAGTAGCACTTTTCAATTCCTCAAAAACGTCGATGTGGCCTATTCAAGTTATAATAAATGAATTGCCGTATCGTCTCAGAAAACAGAATGTAATGTTGTGTGGTTTATGGTATGGGACTGATAAGCCGGTTATAGATCTTTTTATGAAACCTTTCATAGACGAATTAATCATTCTTCATAATGAGGGTATGAGATGTATCACACCGCAACATCCAGAAACAATAAACATAAAAGTGCATACGCTTATTGCGTCTGTAGATTCGGTAGCGAGACCACTATTACAAAACATCAAACAATGTAATGGAGAATATGAATGCTCATTTTGTTTAAAGAAAGGAGATAGAGTGCCATTTGGAAGAGGTTACATCCGAGTCTACTGCGGTGACGTAGATGTACTTTGTACTACATTGCAGCACAAAGCTGATTGCGAACAGGCAATGGAAACGAACGTATGCGTGCGTGGAGTCAAAGGACCCTCTATATTAATGAAGCTACTAGTTTTCAACATTATTAATTCATTTGTGCCTGATTACATACATACTGTGCTTTTAGGGGTAACGAAAACATTTGTATGCAATATTTGGTTCGATTCGGCTTACAGTGGCAAAGAATGGTACATTGGAAATGAAATGATAGCATTCGATGAAAATCTATGCAATATAAAACCACCCTGTGAAATAACTAGGGTTCCGCGATCGATAACCGAAAGGCAATTATGGAAAGCTTCCGAATGGAAAAACTTTCTTTTATACTATTCACTTGTATGTTTGTCCAATTTAATGCATCCTACGTATATAAAACACTGGCTCCTGTTAGTTTTCAGCATGCATATTTTTCTAAAAGACAAAATTACGGAAAATGAATTATATATAGGCGAAAGAGCATTAAAGAAATTTGTTTTCCAAATAGAGACTTTGTATGGACAAGAGTTCGTCAAATTTAATGTCCATTTGCTACTGCATATTCCAAAGTCAATATCTGCTTTTAGTTCATTATGGGCTCATTCGGCATTTCCTTTTGAGCATTACAATGGAAGACTAAAAAATTTGTCCACCACAATTCTCAAACTGTGCCGAAGCAAATATGCAAGTCATATTTTAGATTACAGACAGTTGATAGAATAAGCAATAAAATTTTTAGGAATGAAAATTGTACAATTCGTGGGCAATTGCTATTCAATAAAATGTTCGGACCCCATAGAATAAATTCCTGTGTCGAATATGGACCATATTTAAGATTATTACAACCATCATTCAATATATCATTGGATATTATACAACAAGCATGTATTACACAATTATTACAGGAAGAATTAATGTCCGTCAATAACATTCAGTCATATAAGCGTTTTATTTTTAAAAATATTCTATATCATTCAGTTAACTATGATCATCTTACAAAAAGAAAAAATAGTGTAATACAATTGATAAATGACACATTATTATACAAAATATTTGTATGGTTCAAAAAATTAACTGTAATGAGGATATTTATGTAATTTTTGGATTCAAGTTATTACCATTAAATTTAGAATTTGCAAAAGACTCACAAATCAATAATGCTTCTACATTGTATAGTAGTATTGTGCAAAAAAGCAATGAAATAATTTGTATTCTGTCTACATCTATTAAACGGAAATGTATTATAATGAATTATAATAAACGTGATAATCAGTATATTGTTATGCCGCTTGTCAATCTTACAGAAACTGACTGATTACTTATAAGATATTGCTGTAATTATTATTCTCTATATTTTTAAAATAAAAAATATTTTTTGTTATTCATTATGTTGGCATAGTGAAAAATAAGATTCGGTTTCGCGCTACTTAGGAGCCATATTGAAAAGCCATAATAATCTGTTATCGATTCGGTAAATATATCGATGAAGGGAGGCTGCTCCAATGACCTTGACCTTTATATATGTTCTCAAGGGCATGACCCCAAGTGACCTTCAAGTGGTTTTAGCCGTCGCTCGTTATTCGTTAAAAAGTTATTAACAAAATATATGTAGAAGTATATGAGGACGGAATAGGCATAAATATAACTATAATAATTAAAAAGTTATAAAAAACTAAATACTTTATTGATTACTAGTATTAATAGGATATATTTCTCTCATTATTTGAAAGAATGCTTCAATTCTTTTTTCAAAAGAATAAATCCTTTTGAATATAAACTCAGCGAGATAATGTTTATAATGTTTTGAATTAGTTCCATAACGAGGAATTGCACCACGCATATCACGCCATACTCTCTCAATATTTTGAGTATGACAACCATTTGTAGGATCAACAAAATTCTCAGAATGATTTACATAGATAATATCTATTACATAGATAATATCTATTGTAAAAACAAAAAATACGTGCTTTAATGCTTCTATTTTTTTAGTAAGGCGAAGATTTAATAGATATTCAATTTAATATACATTCTACTTTGCGTAGGGGTCTGTCTAATCTTTTCGGTATCTATTATTTTGGTATATTCTAA